TTTACGTCTGGATGAAAAATCTCATCGTTTTTGTCAGTATATTTTTCCGTACTGCTTACTGATGACGAGAAAGCTTCAAACTTAGATTTCCTATATTTTCATATGAAACGCAAACATTGTTATACTTATTATTTTAATTCCATATTCTTTAAACCATTTCTTTTCTTTTGGAAACCTACCGAAAATCATGGGAGAGACAATTGGATGGGGTCCAACTTCTATGTTACTAAATTTTAGGCATTTATGTAGTTGATTTTAACAATTAGGTAGAGTCACAATATCTTTTCTATGGATGGTATTTTTGTAATTTTTTGTATTTCACGCAGGAGGGGTGAAAATTTCCCTATAAAATATCCGGTGATCGGATAATTTTTTTGATTCAAAGTATAACTCATCTCAAATCTCCATATTATTAGTTAAATAATATCAATCAATAATCATCACATCATATTAGTTGTAATTCTTCACATTAGTTGTAATTTACTATTCATCTACTCACGTCAATTTAACTACTCATTAGTTAAATAATACCAATCAATAATCATCATACATCACACCAGTTGTAGTTCACTATTAAAGATCACACAAATCTGTCTTTCCTTATTTTATTTTACTAAGAATTTATCCCATTCATAATATTTTTTTAATTTTTCAAGTTGATAAATTTTAGCCCATTTTTTAGTCTGTCTTTATTTTCGTAATGCATAATGATGAACTAAAAATATATATTATAATTATATTGATAATATAATTAATAAAATCTTAACTAAACATGTCCCTTATCTTAATTCTCATTAATTTTTGTCCTTTAATAATTATCCCTTATCTTATTTTTTTCAAGTTGATAAATTTTAACCCATTCATCATATTTTTTTATTTTTCCAAGTTGATAAATTTTAGCCATTTTTCAAAATGTGTCTTTGTTTGCGTATTGATGAACTAAAATTATATATTATAACTATATTGATAATATAGTTAATGAAATCTTAACTAAACACGTTCTCTATCTTATTAATATTAACCTTTTAATTTACAGATGTCACGATTGATTATAAATTTGTATTGCAACAAGGATGAAAAAGTTGTTAGTAGAACTAATAATATTGTAACTAAACTCTTTTTTTTTGTTCAAATTATTTTTTATGCACCCGTATAGTACACGGGTGTCGTACTAGTATTATTTAAATACAAATTCAAAATCTCACTCAACCAAACTCAATCAATTTTTTTTCAAAATTAACTCATTTTATCCAATAAATTCAATCAAATCCAAATTAATTTATATACAGTTAAAGATACTAATGGATAATAATCCAAATTTATAAGGATTACTACGAACCACCAAAAATTGACATATGAGATTATAAATATAGACGTTACATTTATAAATAAGGAAATTCTTTTTTTAATAAATTACTAGTACAATACCCGTGTATTACACGGGTGTTAAAAAATATTATTTTTTATTTTTTTTAAATAAAATAATTTAATTTTATATAAAATATTATTTTGAGTTTTAAATCAATGGTAAATTTATATTTTTTTAATCACAATACTTAAACACCCGTACATTAAATGAAAATGTCAACCCATGTTGAATTTTTTTACTTATATCATATAAAAATATCGATATTATTTACTATTACATAAGTACAAAAATATATATCTTAAATAAATAGATATAATAAGGTGATATGTATATGCATAAGTGTAGAATATGTTTATTTAATATTAAGCAAAATAGATTAATTTTTTTACTTAATTAGATGCCCAATATATCAAGTGTCGTATAAGTCGTGCTTCACAGGTTCTTAACTTTATATGTAATTTTAGAATTTAGATAAATAATTATTTATTTTAATTAGAATGACAATATAGGAATAAACATTTATAAACTAATGAATGAATTATATAAGAAAATGAATAAAATAGTTTATGGTAACTATCATTTTGATTCCTTTAGATATGTTTATTAAATTTTCTTTTGTGACTTTATTCAGTTATAAAGAATTAGAATCCTGAACGGGAAAGGAGGGATCCAGTTGAAAATGTTGGGATGAAGTAGAATAAATTAATTAATGATGGTGGTTAAAAAAAAAATTAATATTGGAATATAAAGAAAGTGGAATAATATTGGAATTATAGCTGCTTACGAATTTGATAACACCACGGAGGCAAAATATAATAATCAACCTTTTTTTCTTTTTTTTTTTTTAATTAATTTATATCTAAACCTAATTCCAAATCATGATTTTTTTGCTAAATAGGATACTAAGAGCATCTCCAATGGTATTTCCATTGCTGCCACACGACATAAAAAATCTGACGTGGCCTGGAAAATGTCTAGAAGGCTTTCTAGATATAGAAGTCCTTCTAGACAACTTCTATTATATATTATATTATTTATTCAATTTATCTCTCTTCTCCAACCAATTACAGTTTTACACATCACAAATGACACCACAATTAACACTAACCATTGGAGACAAAAAATTTTAATTCTCTTTTTTCATGTCATACATCACAATCTCCATTGGAGATGCTCTAAAACATGGGAGTTTGTCACGTAGGTTCTAACGCCAAATTATATATAGAGAGGATATATATTCATATCTACTATTATCTTTTACTTTTTTTTCTTCAACGAACTTCCATTTGACTACCTCATCTAATAGATAAGATCTACTCCTATCTATTATCCCAAAAACTAGCTCTCATGTGAATCAACGTGTACATTTTTCATATTAAAAAATTTGTTGGGTGTAAGTGGGGGCAACGCCTGGAAGTGGGCACTGAAAATTTGGAGCCACTGCCAATGTCCAAGATATATATATACCAATTGTGATGATATGCAGGCCTACATAACAGGTAACTATCACGTCTTTGTCTCCGTTGTACTGTTGAATGTGCTCGTGATCCT